TTTTTCTGTTTTCTAGGCTTTGATTCACTTCTCTCCAGTCTCTGCCACTACCTTTCATTTCAGCATTCCAGGCTTCTCTCTTCTTTCTCTGGCCTTTCTTGAAAGAAGAAATGGTCCCCTAAGGGTATGGCCTCATTTATTCAGTTCCCAGGACTCTCCCTCAGATTGCTCTGAAGCTGGGCCTTTTGCATTAAAGGATGTAAATGTGCGCATCAGGCACCTCAAGGAGGTGGGAGTCCTGCGTAGGTCTCTAGCTGCTGGAGAGCGAAGAAATTAAAGCAAAATCCTGCCCTTGCTCTTTCTAAAGTGGCCCTTGGTATCTCCCCTGTGTTTCTTTCACAGCATAACATGTACCATGGTTTTGTTTGTACTTAAAAACCCAATTAGGAACATTAAGTGGCTCCTGACTGAATTTTTTATTAAAGAAGGAAACTGAGATGCTAATTAGTCCTTAGGGGATCACTGGTGAAACCCACATGCTTACAGTCATGTTTGTGAGGAAGGAAAAGTGGAATAAATTCCAGTAAAAACAAAAACAGAAACAGTAACAAGCATTTTGAAAGGGAATTTTAAAAAATGAACATCCAGGAAGTTAGAAATACATTTATGTTGTNCATTTTGAAAGGGAATTTTAAAAAATGAACATCCAGGAAGTTAGAAATACATTTATGTTGTTAAAAGAAGGTTCTATTGTTTTGTACAAATGCTTCCTAAAATCAAGAAGTGAGTATATTTTTAAAAACATCTTAACCTATTCAATTTAGAGACGGACATGAATAAAATCTTTAGCTTAGAATGGTGACAAGACTTCTGATAAAAACATTTGGAAAACATGGTTTTGTGTTTTATTTCCCTGAATTCTTTCTTACATTTCTGCACTTAGCAGTAAAACTTCACATCCTAAAAATAAGATAATATTTATATCAGTGACCAAGAAGACCACCTATAAGCGGCTATTCGGCCTCCTGGCTTGGCCTAAAATACCAATGGAGGAACTTTTTTCCCTTCACTTACTTGGCCACTTTCCTTCCCCAAGTGGGCTCCTGCTCACTTAGTTCCAGATGTGCATTTTGCTGGGGTTTCTGAAGGCCCTGGCACGTCATACCTCACCCCACTCACTTTCTCTATTTTTCTCCCAGTCCCCCTAACTTCCTCACACTGTCCACCTCTCCATCCCCTTCAGTCCCCCTCGCAGCAGCCATGCCTAGTACTAAGCACTTCTCCAATGCCTGGGGGTGACTCTTACCTCTTCTCTGCAGTCTATCCTCAAACCCTACCATGAGGGAGGCCTTCTCACTTGGGGGGAACTGAAGAGTGGGCAGAGGTGTAGAAAGAACCACTCAACCACTCAAATTCTTTACAATTAACCTGCTTTATGTGGCTTTTCGTGGCTTCAACTATGTCACACTGAAATTAAAACCAAAGCTCAACTGCAGGAGAGCTTTATAGGAAAACAGCTTGAAATGCATTGGGCTGTGATGTGAGCAAGAAATAAACCTGTATTTGTGCTAAGCAGCTGAAATATCAGAATATATTTGTTACTGCAGCAAAGCCTAGCCTAGCCTTGAGTAGTACAAAAAGTTGGTATGGAAGTGGGGTGCTAATGTTAAAAAGAAAAGAAAGAAAGGGAAAGATCCTAGAACATGTCTCATCAGCCTGGGGGCCAGGTGTCAGATAGTGGGGAGCTATAAGGACAACAATCCATGAGACACAGTGGCAAAATATTTCATACAATTATCACTGAAATAAAGCTAATAATGTTCTTAATGAACTTACAGTCTTAGAAGAAGAGACTGGAAAGCAAAATATTAGTAGCTTGCAATCGTTGTTATTGACTATCTTTCACTAGGTATTTCAGGAAGTGAGCTCAGAAAAGGATTGACCCATTTAT